ATTTTTACTGCATGCATTGAATAGTTTGCACTTTAAATGTTGTCTGTCAGGTAGTTCCACAGTCTTCAGTTTAGTCTGTGTCATTTTGAACTTCCTTTGCTGTTTCGACAGTGTTTTCTAATCCTCCCAGTGTGGCATCGCCTGTGAGCTTGACTAGTTTACTGACTGTGCCGGTACAAATCCCTGCTGTAAATTAGGAGCAGCAGTGGTCCAGTATTGACCCCTGTGGTACTCCACTGATGACTTCTCCCCAGCCGGGGTCTCCAGGCTCCTCCCTGCGGCTGGGCCTTCTGGGAGTGTGGCCAGGGCCTGAGCCTGCAGGGCGTGACTCAGCTTGGTTTGGGGGTGTTCTTCCCACAGAGCCGGAGTTGTGGGGGACCGTGGCATTGGCGCTGGGTGGAAAGCGGCTGGCCAGAATGGGGCGAGTGTCCGCAGACAGTTTCCGGTCCCCTGCGGTGACCCTGTTGCTGGGAGAGGACAGCTGGGTCACACATGTGGACAATGGGATCAGGTAGGACAGCCTCTCCTTTAGATCTGTCTGGACGACAATGTGCACTAATGGTATTTTTATACTTTTTACTTAATGGTATGTTTTATCAATATACTGCTGTGCCGATCCAACAGCTTGGCCTTCCCAGTGACAGGAATGATCCCTAAAACAATAGAGGAAATATAAGATCACTTTATTAGCCATATACAATTCCTTGCATTAGGAATTTGTCTTTTTGCACACCCCAACTTGCTCTCTATGAGACACACAGGCACACAGACGGGGAGAGAGAAGCTTGGGGTCAGAGCGCAGGGTCAGCCATTTATACAATGCCCCTGGAGCAGTTCGGGTTAAGGGTCTTGCTCAGGGGCCCAAGGGAGTAGGATTCCTCTGCCGGCTGTGGGATTTGAACTGGCAACCTTCCAGCCACAGGCGCAGATCCTGAGCCACAGTGTCACCTCTGCACCCTCTGCCATCACAAAAACGTGACTAAATGAGATCTAGATAAAGCATGTCTGAAATCTGCTAACAGCCTCTCTTTCTAAGAAGGAAACAACTAGAATTTGATAAGAAATATAAACCTTGCTTTGTCACTCTGATCATGTGGTTTAACTGGAAAAAAAATCATTGAAAAGGAAATATTAATTAGGTGAGTGAGAATGTCAGCTGATCCCATTTGTTTCCGGCAGCCTCCTTTCTGAATGACATTGCAGTAGCTCACAGTGAAGAAGGCATGTAAATCTACTTGGCTCATATTTATCAGACTGGGGGAGCAACAGCCAGCATCATATCACGAAGAATGGGCACAGACTGTAGCCAGCACAGGTGACAAAGTGGCTTAGTGTTGTACTGCAGGAAAGGTCCTGTTCGTCTCCAGAAAGACAGACTAACTCAGCCTTGTGAACCCTCAGTAACCCTGTAATAGTTAGCCTTCTGGGAAGACAGGAGAGACCCTTCTTTGAATCATTCCACCACTAGATAAAGTATGCCAGGGTGAGAGCTTGGGTACGGATGTGTAATCAAGAGAAGCGTGTTGCAGGTATGAATTTGATGTCACCAAGTGCATGTTCTCACCTGGAAACATCACGGAGAAGCTGAGGATCGCCTCGCTGGACTGCAGCGGGGAGACCGTAGTGGACCTGTACGCAGGTAAAAAAGAGAACAGTCGATTCCAGTGGAGCCGGTGTTTGTTAAAGAAGAGCGGCGACACAGGCACCTCCTCGCTCACCTGCTCCCCGCTCGGCTCCTCCTGCCCCTCTCCAGGCATCGGCTACTTTACCATTCCCTACCTGCTGTGCGCCGGGGCGGCCCGTGTCCACGCCTGCGAGTGGAACCCCCACGCGGTCGCCGCGCTGCGCAGAAACCTGCAGCTGAACGGAGTGTCCCAGCGCTGCACCGTCCACCAGGGGGACAGCAGACAGGTGAAGACCAGCGGGCACCGCCACAGCCTTGCATGCCTCTGAAACTGGTTTTAGAGCCACTGGCGTGTTGTAAGCGTGGCACAGTGGTGCAGCACTGGGGACCCTGGGTCCAGTTCCCGGGGCGCTCTCTGCGCGGAGCTTGTACCCCCAATGTTTGAAGTGGGCTTTCTCCGCGTGCTCCAGTTTCCTCCCACATTTCAAGACATACTGGTAGGTTGATTGGCTGCTGGGAAAACTGGCCCTGGTATGTCTCTGAGTGCCCTACAGTTGACTGGCGTCCTGTTCAGGGTGTACCCCGCCTTGTGCACTTTGCTTGCTGAGACAGGCTCCGTCCCCCCCCCCGACCCTGAACTGGGTAAAGCACCGAGAAAAGGGATGGGTGGATGTTGAGCTCTATCCTTTTTAATATCTGAGTCGCAGTACAGAAGAACAAGAGGAACTATGTTGTGTGTTAAGAGCAGCGCCTATTACTGTCACATCCGCTGCTGCGTCTATAAATCCTGCAAAGCTGGGAGAATAGCGCCGCATGTCTTCTTGCAACCTTTACCGATTAAGCTGCTCGATGCGTACCAGTAAAACACGATAAAATAATAAAACACAGTAGAATAAAGATAAAGTCCAGCTGACAGAATGAAACAATCAGAGATCTAGTAGAGGGAGTACTTCCACAGACGAAGGGGGTTGGCGTGAGAACGCGTGGCCGGTACAGCAGTAGACCGCGCCGATGCCTGGTGGTCCTCGAGACGCAGGAGTGAGCCCCCTCTCTGGTCCCGCAGCTCCAGCTCGGCGGCGGCGCGGACCGGGTGAACCTGGGGCTGATCCCCAGCTCGGAGGAGGGCTGGCCCGCGGCCTGCCGGCTGCTGAGGCAGGACAGGGGCGGCGTCCTGCACGTCCACCAGAACGTGTCCTCGCGCCCGCCGAGAGGCGCCGGGGCGGCGGCCCCGCGTGACGGGGGCGGAGAGAGCGGGCAGCCCCCCGGGACGGGAAGCTCCCTGCGGCGGGAGTGGCGGGAATGGGCGGAGGACGCTTCCCGCCGGATTGCTGGCCTGCTGCTGGACGCTCACGGACAGCCCTGGAGAACCCGCGTCCTGCACGTCGAGCACGTCAAGTCTTACGCCCCTCATGTTGATCACTTGGTGCTGGACCTGGAGTGTAGGCCCGTCTGAGGCTGGGAACGGACCTGGACTGGGACTGGGAGTGAACCTGGGACTGGGACTGGACTGGGGCTGGGGCTGGGAGTGAACTTGGGACTGGGGCTGGGGCTGGGAGTGAACCTGAGACTGGGGCTGGGGCTGGGAGTGAACCTGAGACTGGACTGGGACTGGGACTGAACTGGGACCTGGGCTGGGGCTGGGAGTGAACCTGGGACTGGGACTGGGCTGGGACTTTGACTGGGAGTGAACCTGGGACTGGGGCTGGGACTGGGAGTGAATCTGGGACTGGACTGGGACTGGGACTGGTCTGGGCCTGAGTAAAGCACTGTGCTGAAAAGGCTGGCTGTGAACATCAGGGCACTGGTGATCTGCAGCCGGGTCACACCTGAGTCCCTGGCTGGTTGCATGTCAATCAGGGGTCCCCAGCAGCTGTCCCGGGATCCCAGATTTCCATAGGTTTTTTTTTTAATTTGTTACCTTGTCAGGTTATGTAAGTTTACAAAGAGCTGCACCAATCTCATCACGATCGGCTAAACCAGGTGATTTGTTTCATAACTTTGATATCAGTGAGGACCAAGGAGGTATCGCGGGTGTCCATCATCCCCCGAGGCCCAGAGTTCTCTTCCTTGAACAGATTTCCTGCTTAATTCAGCAGTAGTGTGTCTACCGGTGTTCCCAGTCTTTAGAAACTGGTGACCTATAAGACTAACTGGAGTGAGAGCCCTGATCTAGAACAGAGAGCGCAGATCAAATCAAATAAAAATCCCTTTTATGCAGCAGTTACTGTACATCACCAGACAAGAAGCGCTCTTCCCTCTCTCATAATTCAGTGTGTGAAAAATAGGGTCAAAACAGGTCAAAAGACTAACAATAAGCAGATAATTACAGAGTGCTGGGTGGAACAACAGCTACAATGTCATTATTCAGACTGCAACCCCCTGAGCTTTAACCACTGCCTACAGCTGCTTGTACCCACACCTAGAGAGCCTCTTTTAAAGCATCCTGTTCTGCAGTGTCTGTAAATGTCACACTCCTGTTGTAGCATCTCGTCTTCTGAATAAATGAGAGGATTTTTTTTTTAGTCCTTGGCATTCTGAATCATTAATTCCTTGTGCAGGCGTGCAGACACAGGGAGACTGGAGTTTCCTAGAAGAGCCCAGGACCCCAAGCTCTTGGCTGAAAATAATGCTCCATGCAACTACAACTCTTTGTGTAAAGAAGCATTGTTATAAATAAATTACTCTTTAATTTCCAGTTGTGCCCTTATATTGTGCCAGCAGCCATATCACCCTGCAACTCACAACTGGCAGCCCACTGAAGCCCAGCAGGTGTGAGCCTGGTCAGTACCTGGATGGGAGACCTCCTGGGAAAAACTAAGGTTGCTGCTGGAAGAGGTGTTATTGGGGCCAGCTCACCCTGCAGTCCATGTGGGTCCTAATGCCCCAGTATAGTGACGGGGACACTATACTGTAAACGGGCGCCGTCCTTCGGATGAGACGTAAAACCGAGGTCCTGACTCTCTGTGGTCATTAAAAATCCCAGGGCGTTTCTCGAAAAGAGTAGGGGTGTAGGCCGGCATCCTGGCCAAATTTCCAATTGGCCCTTACCAATCATGGCCTCCTAATAATCCCCATCTATGAATTGGCTACATTACTCTGCTCTCCTCCCCACTGAGAGCTGGTGTGTGGGGAGCGTTCTGGCGCACTATGGCTGCCGTCGCATCATCCAGGTGGGGCTGCACACTGGTGGTGGTGGAGGGGATCCCCATTACCTGTAAAGCGCTTTGAGTGGAGTGTCCAGAAAAGCGCTATATAAGTGTAAGCAATTATTATTATTATTATTATTATTATTATTATTATTATTATATCCTTATTTCACTTCTCAGCCCCCTAGTTTGTACCCATTTATACATCCCTGCCGACAAGAGAAGAAAGAAAGCAACGTTTCGGCCGTGGAGCCTTCTTCAGGTGTGTACAGTACATGCTTAACATCTCCCCTCTGCTCCAGCTTTTATTTTCCATGTTCAGTTGACAGACCCAGCGCGCAGATGTCTGCTCCTAAACCACGTGGCATGATCCATCTGCGATTCAAACACAGCGCTTGACAAGGCGTTATTCTGCCAAAAGCACTTTTTCACGTAACGTGAAGAGAATAACCCGAATGTTATATGTTATTGTATCCGTTAATATATTTTTCTCAGGGGATATGATGCGCCCACATAAAAAAAAGAACACGAGGCTTTCACTAACAGAGTATACTAACCGACACGTTTCACGTCGGAGGTGACAATAAATCCCCTTACTGACATTATTCGATTGATTTGTAGACCGAATGTGGGCAAGCGGTCAAGCAGTGCTGAACTAGGAAGTGATACCCAAGACAAAATCACCTGTCGCTGAGCACTGCGTACGTGGCTAGCGGTTCCTTTAAAACCTCAGAGCTCTGCCTCTGGGCGCAAACAACAAAAAAAACTCCTCTGCCCAAACAGCAGCTTTTGGTGTTTTCCGGGATCGGGATTGCTGGCCGCAGGATCGCGAGAGGACAGCTCGAGGACGGGGCGCCTTGCACCTGGAGGTGAGCCGTGCGCCGTCCTCTTGCGAGCGGGAAGCTTTGAGATCTTTTGCGTTTTATCAGACAGCTGGGTGAACGTTTCTGCGTTGAATCGGAACTTTAAAAACTTTTTTAACGGGTTTGGGACGGGGGCGCATTTCGTTACATCTGGGTGTCAACGGGACCGAGAATCGGTCTCCCGGCCGTGATGTCCGTTCTTGCTCGCTTCCTTTCCTTTTCTAGGAAAAAAAAAGTTCACCTGTAGTTTCAATTGAGTTTTATACATCGGTATTATAAGCGTTCATCTTTTCATCTAATGTCTGATTGTAACTGTAAAACATTCTGACCTGATCCTTAAAGGAAACAAAGTATTCGTAGTTTAATCATGCTCGTTTTTGTTGTTGTATTATTATGTTACAAATCTAAAAAGGTTTATTCAGATCGAATAGCCTGATGCCACGCAAAACTGATATTTAGGTAATACAGTATGAGAAAGTATTGTATATGAGAGCAGATGAGATTCAGATGGTGCCTGCTTTGTCGCAGAGAAGTTCTGAATAAATGACACCGTTTCCTTTCCCTCCGAGTGCTTAAAGCAGTGGACGTGCTCGTTAGTTAATATTAGCTTTGATTCAGTGTACTCATTTCGATATTTCGAATCGATATTCTTTTTTTTAACGAATTCCCCCATTGCTTTACGTGCGAGGTCTTTTGTTCGCGAGGTCTGAATAACTGTGCCGCAGAAGGTCGCGTCTCCTCCTGTTTTGTAAACATAACTCCAGGAGCCGCAGATCGCCGCCGCGGTAGTGCCCCGGTACAGGAGATCGGTATGGTAGATCTGGGACCGCTGCTGCTCTGCGCTTCCCTCTGGGGCTGGCCAGTGAGACTGTCTCGCGTAAAACCGAGCTGTCCTAGCACATGCGTCCGGCTCTCTGAAGCAAAGGTGGGAGTCTTTCTAGGACGGAACTGCTTTTGAGTGTAGACCGTACGGGTGCTCGCTGGAATTTAAGCACCTGTGTCATTGCACCTGAGGAACAGTAATACTAACGATCACCATAGCAAAGGTCAGTAACAGTAACAGTAGGCTGGAGGACCCAAGAGGTGGGTGATCGGTGGTCGCCGTGGTGACAGGGAGACCAAGCCGACGTGGAGGGACAGGGGCTCCCGCTGCGGGCGGTGGGACCCTGCGGGCAAAGCAGCGCACCGGAGCGGCCGAACAGCTGGCCGCTCTGCTCGAGTTCGGGCTCAGATTTCTCAGTTTGTCCTGCCTGGGTCCAGCAGCAGACATGTCTTTCACTCGACACGGGATGCCTAAGTGTTTAAAGGTTGAGTGCCTTATGGTTCTTACCTGGGCAGCCTAAGACCATTTTAATGGCATCTGCTACTGGTGACTTATTTACCGGACAAGTTTACGCACACCAAGCAAGATCATCCAGAACTTCGAGCCAGGAAAGCTTTGTATGAAATAGATGGGCAGCTTTCTGGAGCAGATGACCTCAGATGCACCCCACTTCCAGTGCACTGGGTGTTCTTATTTGGATACAGTTTCTGTTTAAATGCAGTGTTCTGGAAAATACTTTGTGAAGAGTATCTTTTAAAAGATCTTGTGTGCTTGACTTAAAATAGTCAAATAAATAAGATACCAGTGTAGTTTCAGCTCTTAAACCGTCATTAATTTTACCTTTCATAGAACAGATCGGGTCCCTCAGCAGCAAAGTTGTTACTGTTTTGTGACAGTGTGTCTATACTGTACACATTCCCCTCCTGGGTTTGATTGGCAGGAGACCAAGTGAGTCCACAGCTGTGAGTGCAGGGTTTGGCCAGGACTCTGATGTTTCTCGGGGCTGTGTGTTGATAAAGGAAGCAGCCACAGAGCTCCACCCTGGCCTGTGTGTCTTTAAAGGGTGGGAGCACTCTGACAGACATGCAAGGTCTTATTGTCTTCTCCTTTTCTGCAGAATAAATAAGATAGCACTGCAGTTTCAGCTTTTTTCTCGAACTATTTTGAATTATTTTACTTTTCATAGAGCATATTGGGTCCCCCAGCAGACATTGTGTGCATTCAGTCTATGACGTACTGTAATGCTAAGGTACAGGCCACAGTCTCAGTGTGAAATACACAGCATGGCCTGTGATGTCACTGACTCCACTAATCCTGCAGAGCAGGCTGTTTGTTTCCTCTAATCTTCTAGGAATGCTCAACAGGCGCAAAACCATTCTGAAGTTGTGCTCATTTTTTCACATAGGTGGATTTTACGATGTTACTATCGTTCTTGCACTTGTCGCTCATGAGTCCAGTCATATGATTTATTTTTTCCTCGCGATCATCTGTTGCAAAACAGAGCTCTTGCTCTGTGTGACAGTGTTGGTGATGAAGGGGTTGTGTCTCTTGTCTGTACTGAATTACCTACATTTTCCCAAAACAGAGCAGTCTGCCCCTGTCTTTTAAATCCGACTCCTGCTTGCTTCCCCCTGCCTGTAAAGGGGTACACCTAGAGGCACCCCCAGTGGAGCTGGGTTCTGCATTTACACCTATCGGAGCATCTTTTTTTATCAAATGAGCCTGAGCACTCAGTAATATCCATATCTTGAACCAGCAGATTTTACAAGGCATCTTTGTGAGGTGTCTGCGGGGCACGGCCACTCGGAGCGGGGAGCGGGAACGGTCTCGTTAAGGATTAGGGATTTCGGAGGCTAACGAGCGCGCTCTCTGCCTGCAGTGCTCTTTGAGGAAGACCAGTGCAGGGGCGAGCGAGGAAGCACCGACCGCAGCCAGGCTGCCGGAGACGGCCGGCCTCCCGAGCGCCGGTGTGCGCGGCCTTGCCGAGCCCGCCCGAGCCGAGGCGCCTCGCTCTGCGTCGGCTCGCTGCCCCGGCCGGCCTGCTGCAGGATGTGGCCGGGGGCGGAGGTCATTGACGTGGCGTTCCTGACGGAGCCGGAGCGGGAGCTGATCCTGGCGGTGCTCCAGCGGGACCAGGAGCTGCGCCGGGTGGAGGAGCTGCGTGTCAGGTGGGCGCTCGGGCCGGGGGGCTCCGTGGGGGCCGGGGGGCTCCCTGTACCCACAGTGAGGGGTGTTGAGCTGTCACGTTTGGCGTGGAGCGTGGGTGTTGCGCTGCCTCTCTTTGATCTGGGAGAGCCTGTACGTTCTTTCTGCTGCTGCTTCCTGAAGAGAGCAGCTCCCCGACCTGCGGCTCTCTTGAGATGGCTGAGCTCCTGCCGTTCTGGGCGACTTTCTCTTCCTGCTCTCCCCAAACACCTCCCAGCGGAAGCTGAGAAACGGCCAGGGGTCACCGGCTGTCCCGCTGTCCCTCTGTCCCTCGCAGGAGGCTGAAGGCCGAGCTGCTGGACATCCGCCGGAAGGGCGCCAAGCGCAGCAGCCAGGACTACAGCCGCCGGGCCTGCGGGCGCTGCCAGGAGCCGCTGGGCAGGCTGAGCGTGGGCAGCAGCCGGTGCCGGAGTTGCAACCACCTGGTGTGCCGCCGCTGCCAGGTGGTCCGCGGCGGCGGAGGCTCCTGGGCCTGCAGCGTGTGCGCCAAGGAAGGGTGAGCGAGCCGCCCCCCGCGCTGAGCCTCGGTTCCCGCCGCCGCCGCCGCCACGCGCCGGAGACCGAGGTGGTTTTGTCGGCCATGTCGTTTTCTTCCCCCTCTCTCTCCAGGGAGCTGAAGAAGAGCACGGGAGACTGGTTTTACGACCAGCGGGTCAACCGCTTCATGAACGCTCCCGGGTATGACCTGGTGCGGGCCTCCCTCAGGAAGAGGCCGCCAGGTACGTGCCCGGGGCTCTGGGGAGGGGTGGGCGCTGGCTGGCAGCAGGAGCGGCTCCGCTCTCCTGTAGGTTGATCTCCGTCGTTGCCCTCAACTGGAGAATGGTCTTTAGGGATACTGCATGTTCTGCAGGCCATAGGAAATATGGAAACTTGCCTGTCTAATACTCTAGTCTGAGCTTGTCCACCTGCTAATGCCCAGTTCAGCCTGAAGGATGTTTTTTGTCCCCCCTAATAAGTTATTGCCCGCACCCACAATCGCGTTCGCGGCGGTGAAACTGCGCCGCTGATTGTGATGCGCTTGTCCGCAGCGAAGAAGCGGGAGACGGTGGGAGAGGTGCTGCTGCAGCGCTCCGAGCTGAACCCCAGCCCCCGGCCCAGAGCGACGGACCCCCAGGCTGTGGACAAGGGGTGAGGGAGAGAGAGGGCCTGCTCAGGCCGGCAGACAGTCCGGAGTTTGATATTTCCAGTGGGCCTTCCTTGACGACTGTCCCTCCTGGGCGTCTGTCTTCACAGGTTGCTGTACAACAGTGGAGAAAATGGGTTCCTCTCCCTTTCCCTTTCACGCTCTTTGAAGCTGCAAGATCACAGAGCAGCGTCTCCGCAGCCCCTGGGTCTCTGTGTATCTAACCGCGGCCTCTCCCTGTGTTTCAGGCTCTTCCCTGAGATCTCTGTGCCCACAAAGGCACGAGAGCAGCAGGGCAGCGATGCAGAGCTGCTGGAGAGAGGCAGCCTGAGCAGCTACCAGCCTGAGATCCACTCCTCCCAGGCTAGCCCTGTCCTGCAGCGGTAAGGCTGCGTCTGTTTGCCGAGGAAGACCGTGATCTGCCTTCCCAGGAAGCCTCCTGTTCTTTCTAGACAACATTCCTACTTATTTCTTCCAGGAGGGACTCTGTACAGGGCCCAGGGCCTGGTGCGTCCACTCTGACTGTCCCCACCAAGCCTGAGGAGGCCAAGAGGAGTGACCCTGAGCCAGTAAGAGCAACGTCCTCTCCCATCTCTCGCCAGTCTGCGGGTCACAAAAATGCGGTTTCACAAAATGTTAAGAAACTAGTTGTTACAAAGTTCTAGAGTGGAGCCCAGCTGAAAGCATGTATCTGCTTTTTCTTCCTGTTTCTATGGTGCAAAATCAGTTTTCCAGCTCTGGTGTGACAGCAGACGAGAGTGACGTCCTCTTCAAGAAGAATCCCAGGAGGACATTGAAACCTCCAGGTGAGACGCAGAGCTTACACACGCAGTAAGACATTGGCATTTTAGTCCCGTGTTTCTTGACCAGGATATCGGCATCAAAAGCATCACTGGGCGAGTTGCTCTGTAGAGAAGTGCTTCCAGATTCCAGTCTTAAGTTCACTTTGTTTGAACTTGTATCCTCTGGTTCATGGTTCTCTGTACAGTTCGAAGATGTTCACTGGGTCGGAGGATTTTGTATACCTGAATCAAAACTGCTCGTAGCCTTTTCTGTGCAACACTAAAAGGATTCAGTTCCTGTCACCCATGAATGTGTCCCCTATATTATTGTTCTATTGTCTTCAGAGTACAGTCGGCCGACCTCTGTCCTGGACCTGCGTGAAAACGCTCTGGGGGTGGACGGAGGATCTATGGGAGACCGAAGCAAATCTGTCCCAGGCCTGAACATCCAGGTGAGAGGAGCTCTGTTAACGAAAGCCAGAGGCGTGCTCCGAAGGGCACAGAAACCAGGTCTGCTGCAGGGGTTGGCTCCAGCTCCCCCGTCAGGCAGGTTGTGGGTGGATGGATGGATGAAATTTGATGATGGTCTTGAACTGGTATGGCAGGTGGGATGGTTAATGCTTGTGTTGCACCTTATGTTGGCCTGCTAAGTCAAAGCATCATTTCAGGCCATCGCTCCTCACTCGCTGGTGAAGCCCTTCTTTCTTCATGGCTTGCCCTTGCATGAACTCGGTGAGCTGCTGTTTTGTTCCCTCTGTTCTCCTTTTCTGAAGCACCATGGTGACTACACTCTGTTGCAGGAGGAAGAGGAGGAGGAGGACATAGACAGCCTGGTGGAGATCCACAGGAAGTCTGCAGGCAGCACCTACAGTCTTCGTAGCTCAGGTTCCAGGGTGAGCGCAAAGCATGAGGGCTCCCGTCTCTCGCCCCTACAACACCGTGTGGTTCCTGCAGCTTCAGTCTCTGGGCTGGACTTCTGCAGGCAAGGGTTGTCAGTGTAGGAACCCCTTAGTGCCATGTTCGCTATGGGATTCTAGTACCCTGGCTCAGTGAGTTATAGTTCTCCATTACTGTCCAGTTCTGTCTTTTAACCGTCTTTGTGTTGTTCATGCGGTGCTTGTCCACGTGAGGTGGGGCCGTCTCCCTCGTCCTCCCAGCTGCGTGACTGTCCCTGTGTTTCTGCAGACCACGCTGGGAAGTATGATGAGCGTGTACAGCGAGGCGGGAGACTACGACAGCGCAGAGGTCTCCGGCGAGATCGTTTTCTCGCTGAGCTACGACGAGCGCACCCAGACCCTGTGCATCTTCATCAAGGAGTGCCAGAACCTAGCCCACGGGGACGTGACCAAGCAACGCTCCAACCCGTAAGTCTGGCTGTCCCTGGGCCATGGGGAACCCCGGTCTCGCTAGACCAGGGGTCTCCAACTCTCGTCCCAGAGAGTCCCCAAATTCAAAAGACGAAAGATTTCCACGATGAGTATCCTTCAACCCTTGATGACCAGAGGTCTCTTAACAGGGTAAACTACTCAATGAATCCGTTACTTAAAGGCGTTTTCAGTTTTCAGAAACAGGTTACCTGTCAGACTAACTAGACTGGGGCTCTGCGGGACCGGAGCTTGAGACCCCTGCAGTAGACATTCCTGCGTCCTGCATTGGGTCCAGTTACTCTTGTATGTCACTTTTGCTTTCTAGTCTAGTTAACGCACAATTAAAGTGGTCTCCCTTCTCTGTGTACAGATGGAGAATTATTAGCTTCCTACAAGGCTAGTTGGTAGTTTTGGAGATAAATGCTTTTACCAGCATGCCTGTACAATACAGTACAATAAGGCATGGAAATGAAAATGTTAGAATAGAGTGCTTTTGGATTTCCTGTTTCCACAATCGGGAGTAATCAGAGAGGTGCTGTAGTTGTCGCTGGACTCTTGTTTCTGTCGTGGTGGTGAAGACTGAGAAAGAAACGGGTGCAATGCTCTGCGTGTCGTCCCTTTGTGCCGAAGGTACGTCAAGTGCTACCTGCTTCCGGACATGTCCCGCCAGAGCAAGAGGAAAACCGCTATCAAGCGCAACACCACCAACCCGTCCTACAACGAGACCCTCAAGGTAATGGCCGCTTGTCCTGCAGTGGAAAGGGGACGTGTGAGGCAGCCTGAGCCTCTAATCGCTCAAGACTTGATTTTCATCTGCAGGTTGTTAAGCCGATACTGTACGTCCACCTTCAGCAAGCTATCAAATCGCAATCCTGTCTAAAGATAAGAGCCGAGTTATTGTCTGTGATGAGCAAATATTGATTTTGGCTGCTTTTACGGAATTAGACTGCGATCTCCGTAAGGTGTGAAAATGTGTTTTCATGGAACAAAGTATATGATGGAAAACTTTGAACATTTTTCAATATTTTGTTAGCGTTGTTGCTAAAAGCATGATTTCTCCCTAATCCATTCTGATGGATTAGTATGCCTATTACTGTACCTGTGAAACCATTGCTCCAATCCTTCAAATTATTCTTGCTTCAAATTAGAACAGCTGAATGATTTTGTTATACCCCCCCTCCCTCTGAAACTGAATAGGTACTGGTGTGCGTTTACCTTCTGCTCTTGTCTTTGCAGTACAACATCACCCAATCCCAGCTCATGATGCGCTCCGTCCAGCTCTCCGTCTGGCACTATGACCGGTTCGGACGCAACGTCTTTCTGGGCGAGGTGGAGCTCCCGATGGACTCCAGGAACTTCGACACGCCCTTGGAGGAGTGCATGCCTCTCTGTGGGAAGGTACAGTGCCTCCCCGATTCAGACTCCCTCAAAAGAGAAGCTGCGATAAGGAATGCACACCTTGCACAGTGAGGCAGGGAGACATCCTAAGGTGAAATACATGTGCTTTCTTCAAGGTTAAGCCTGAGAACGGTGGTGCCTACGGGCAGTACAAAGGCGAGTTGGTCATCTCTCTCAAGTACGTCTCTCCACACAAACTTCCTGCTGACAAATCGAGAGGTAAGCGAGTGCAGGGAAGAGGAAACGTGGCACTCTTCCGTGGCTGTGTTTAGAACCTGTGGTTTCTGGTGAAGATGGGAGTAAATGAATAGCTCCAGCTGTGTGGCTGACAATGCTGGTGACTTGTGACAGGCAAGAGGAAGAAGGAGGAGAGTGGAGAGCTTCACGTCTTGATCAAAGAGGCCAAGAACCTGAATGCAATGAAGTCGGGAGGCACCTCCGATTCCTTTGTGAAAGGGTGAGGGCAACGATTCGATCTCGGGGCTTCTGTGGCAGCCTGGCATCCAGAAGTCGCTAGTTGATTTTTAAAACTCAAAGTAACTTTGTTCTAGTTATCCTGTAAAGGTGTGGAAACCACCAGCTTGAGAGCGAGGTCTGCTCCAGCCATGGGACCGCCTTGTCTCACTGCTCTCTCCACCAACCATGCAGGTACCTGTTACCGTCCAGGACCAAGATGACCAAGAGGAAGACACCGGTGGTGAAGAAGACTCTGAACCCGCACTATGACCACACCTTCGTGTACAAGGACCTCCGCCTGGAGGAGCTGAAGAACATGTGCGTGGAGCTCACAGTGTGGGACCGCGAGGCCATGTCCAGCAACGACTTCCTGGGGGGCGTCAGGCTCAGCACAGGGACAGGTGAGCAAGTGCTCGGACGCAGGACGAGGCTCACTTTGTACTTCACTGCCTCACTGCCACAGTGCTCTTCTGACTCCTCTCTGAGCCTGGGTTAGGAGCTGTAGCGATGCTGCCCTGGCCTCTGTGTAAAGTGGTGCAAGTGACTGACTCGGAGCTGCACAGAAAGGGGACTAAGGATGTTTTTTTTTTTTTTAATAATCTTCATTTACAGTTGCCTTCCTTCCAACCAAAGTGCTTCAAACGCTAGAGGCAGGGCAGCACTGAGGGCTGTGTTTGGTTGCCTTTTCAGGGCTGGCCAAGGGGGAGAAGGTGGACTGGATGGACTCCAGGGGTGAGGAGGTGTGCCTGTGGCAGAAGATGATGCAGTACCCTGACTCGTGGGCAGAGGGCACTCTCCCACTGCGCTCCTCCATGGGCAAAAGTCAATGAGCAGGTCACCCTGAAAGAGACGCAAGGGAGGTGGATTGTAGGAAAGGTCCAGAATGGATCCCGATTTCTTGCTTTTCTTTTCCTTCGTGTTGCAGGAAGCTGTCATTTTTTGAAGGCTTTCAATAAGGTGCTCTTAACTGTTGAGAACGTTTATTCTTATTGAAAATGGCGAGATGAACTATACATCTCCATTTAAAAAAGCTATATAGGCCCCTTATTATGTATCTTTAAAAAACATGTTTGAAAATCGGGGCCTTTTTGTTATCTGCTAATTTCTTAATAAGGTTAGGACTTAATTGTTTAATTAGACAAATACATTCCACAGTCAAACACTGGATTTACCAAAGGGTTTTAATGGCACATAATATATTTATTTTTGCCTTTTAAATGGGGAGGGGTAGAGGATTTTAATTATCCCTTTAAGTATGAAGAGCACTGGAAACTGCTGACTTGCATTTTTTCCAACATTTTAGTTCAGTACTAGAATGTCAGTGCTTCAGTTTTGTGGCTTAATCCTCTTACCAAAAAGGGAAAAGCAATCAGAGCAATTGAGTTTCTGGAAGCTGGTGTCATGGATTTTGCTTTGGGAAGATATAAAAAATCCCAGGAGAAAGTGCCATGAATGCTGGGGATCATTGTGTGTTGGAGCTCCTTTCACTGTTCCGAGTCTGCTGTTCACACACCTCTTCTGCAGTTGAAGTTTTTTTACATGTAACAAAATGTTCTTAAGACCTGTTTGATCAGTTGCATTGCTGTGTATAATGGGCTTCTGCTTCACTGAAGCACACAGAGGTGGGGAGCAAGTAAGACCTGTAAAGAAACAGCTTTTTCCTCTCATTCTTGACTGTCTGGTCTAGTGCACAACAGGAAGGCAGAGAACAAATCCATTGAGTGAGTGCTGCTTTCTGCATTCCAGATACGGTTTAGTCACCTTGAGAAATCCTTTGTAATTTTATTGTTAACAGTCACAGTCGCATTAAATAAGGCAGAACATTACTCCTGAGCCCACAATTACCAGGCATGTCCTGTGCAATGTGTGCAAACCTTTGTCTTTTTCAAATCCACTTCACAGAGCAAAGGGACTATTAGTATAAAAGGTTTCATTTTGTTTGGATTTGTTTATTTAGAAATATTTGCCAAAATTATTGTGTGCAATCATTGCATTCAAAATTTTGTTCACAAATGCACAAATAAAACTTAAAGCATTAACTTCTGAAAGCAAAGTGCCACTACGACAGAAGGCGATCGGATTCTAAATCTGGAAAAGCTTTTAAATGTTTGTAATCTGAGTGACGGTGTTTTGACTTTAAAATGTGCAGGGAAGAGCCACACAGGAAGTGACCTTTGATGCTCACTTCCTGCCTGCAGCTCGTGACTGCAGGCTGGGCAGAACATCCGGCTGTACTTCTACAGCGGGGTCATGATGAAGAGGAGTTATTTTTTAAAAAACTAATTTTATCATTTATCTTAAAAAGAATGCTTTAATAAATATCGTTTTGATTACACTCTGCTCCACTGTCCTTATTTTTTACTATTTTATGTCTAATGCTGCAGGTCTGAGGCAGTAGTTGGTAAAACAGGTGTCGTGGGTGTGAAGGGGTGACAGCCAACACTCCCTTAGATTAGATTAGCAGTTTAGTTCTTATTAACAGGATCTGACTTATTGAGGATCTAATGCCCACTGTTCCCGATAAGGAAATTCTCATGACCTAAAACATGCTTGAGCACTAGTCTGGCATCTGCAATCTGACTTTGTAGCACTGGGTGTAGGAGCTGCAGATTCTGAACGCTTCTGGTCCCAGGTACTGTGGCGGAAAGAAAGCCTTCTGTCCCTGGTCCCCGGGGGGACTGCAGCCTGTCCTGGGGAGGTAGTGTGGTGCTCGGGGCCCAGGGGCTGCCATCTGCTCAGTCGCAGTAGTCCTTGTACTTCTCCAGCCGGTCCCGCTCCTCCTCGCTCAGCATGTAGGTGTCAATGAAGGTGTAGACCTCATCCGAGGTGGTGGGGGCTATGAACCGCTCGCGGTCGATGCCCTGTTTGTCCAGCAGGAGCATGCTGAAGTAAGCCCTGGTGATCCGCAGCACCTGCCTGCGCGGACACAGTACACACAAGCCTCAGACAAACAGCTTTCTCCTTCCCTAGCAGCCTTATTCTCCTCTGTGCAAATGAAATAGTTTGACTGCAGCAGGGACCATTTTATTGTTGTTCTGTGTGCTTAGCTTTTTTCCCCTCTCTTTGCGCTACAAAACCACAACATAAAAATGAGCCAAACCCTGTATTGAAGACACCTTTCCTTTGATAAAAGCCTGGCATTTTGTGATATGAAATAAAGTAAATAAAGTGATGCCTTGGTCATGCCCTCATAAGCATGAGCCAATACACCACTCCTTAGTTTCTAAAATGAGGTCGCGCTTGTGTTACCTGTGGCAGAGGACGGCTCCCCCAGGCGAGCGGCCCGTTACCTGAGCTCCTCGATGGCCTGGGACGTCAGGCGCCGGTCCTTGATGCGGCCCACCTCCCGCGGAGGAAGCCCCAGCAGCTCGATCACCGTCACCTGCCGCAGGTCCAGGCCGCAGCTGGCACTCTGGGCAACACAGCAGCAGCAAGACCGCTAGATAGACGCCGTTGCCCTTTCCTAATCTGCGGCATAATGTCCTGCACTTTCAGCTGGTTCCCCAGGACGAAAGGGAGACTTTACTCCACTTCAGCAAGCTGCATAGGCATGACTGGCGATTTACAGTGCTGCCAGAGCAGATGCTTAACACACCATTCGCAGACGTTAACTTACAGTACTTAAAAACAGTCTAAGTAGTGTGTGAATACTAACCCTAACCCCACCTGGGGTGTCAACTGAGCATTTCCGCAATCTAAATCTGAGCCTCTCTGGGCATAGGATTTTGACATGTTCCTCAAACCAAAAGGTATGAGTGGGAACAATCAAGACCACTGATAGGAGGAGGATCTGAATAAGATTCAATAATGCTTGGTTACACCGTGACATCCAGGTCCTCTGAGATTCCGAAAAAAATATTCAGATAGGAGCTAAAAACCACTCGTCCTAAACCTGTCTTGGGACCCAAAATCCAGCATTGATCTTGGAAGAAAAAAATCAGAAGAAGAAGAAAAATTGGAAGTATGAGTAAAGTATGAGTAAAAAGTATGAGTGGGAAACCATCAAGACCCTTGCAATTAAATGAGATTCAATAATGCTTGGTGACAACTTTTGATCCCACCGACTCAGAGAAATTTAGAAAACAAGACAGAGAGCTATGAAACCTGCCATCTGCCTGCTAACCTGCAGCATGATGTTCTGCAGCTTGTAGTTCTCGTCTGAGTTGTCGGGCGTGGACACAATGAGCAGCCTCCTTTTCTCGTAGAACTGGTCCAGCAGGGCGGCAGCGGTGGTCACCTCGGTGTTGAAATCCATGGCTGTGAATACAGGCGTATGCGTCAGGCCCCGTCTGGAGCTCGGAGGAAGAGGCTCTTTCTTTCTTTCAGTGGGGCATTGCAGGGGAGGCATACAGGGGTTGCTTTAAAATGGAGCTCGTGACATGGCCAAAAAGGAAAAACTGTGGACACTTTGGGGACATGACTATAAACGTAAATGTAATTCACTGAATGAGGCTACATTCCAGGTACAAAAGCAAAACTGCCAGCGCCAGGCCATGATGCTCTGCTGTGGGCAAAACGACCACCCTGTATGGAGATGTTAAATGAAAGTTCAAGAGGGGGTCAAATTATAATGTTCTCTCAACACATGAAAAAATTCCTGTCAAGGCCCCTTCATGCGTATCTATGCAATAACCCCCTCCACCTCAACTTCACCCCTGCAGCTGCCTCCCTGGTTCATTCCTCGCAGGGGGGCGGGGTTTGTCAGCCTTGACCATACGGCCCTATTTTTACATATTTCTTTTTAATGTAAAAGTTCTTTAATTTGAATTTAACTGAAAGGGGCTGTGTAATCTGACAGGCGAGTTGAGGCGAAAGTCACCAGACGTCAGAGTCGGGAGGCCGCAGGAAGAGGGCAAAGTCACGGTGCGATTCCGCTCGCACACTCACGGACACAGACTGGAGCCGTTCCTGCCCAGCCGTGGTTGAACTGGCAGACACGGGTGGGGGGGCCCCTCCTCTCGTAGCCCCCCTCACACGAGTATTCACAAGTGGCGCCATAGTTGTTCCCATCCGAGGAGCAGGTCAGGTACCCGTGAATCGGCGGCTTGAGAGCAGGGCACCTCCGCACTGGAGGAAGAGCAGGAAGGGTTAGCGCCAGTCCTCACGTCAGGCGCCTCAACCTGAGCGCACAGCCTGGGAGAACCCAGAAAGGTTCACAATTCATCCACTTAGACTCATCTGCGGCACAATCCGGTAGGTCAATTATGCCGATTTGAAAAGCCATAGGAAAGTACAAACCTCGTGGGTTTTAAGTTTATTTTCCTATCTACTAACCAAATATTTAAATACATCCATTCATCCGTTAAATGAAATCCGCTTATTCCTAAGCCAGAGTGTCTCCTGGAAGCACAGGGACAGGTCACAATCCGGACAGGACACCGGTCCGCCGCAGGGCACACACACACCCTTTAAAGACACCGAATTATCCCAGCTAGCATGTCTTTGGAGGGTGGGAGGCCATCGCAGAGCCCAGAGAAATTCCACGTGACCATGAAGGGGAGCATCAGTTTAAATCTGAACCACAAATTCAGGAGACACAATGCTGTATGCTGTTCACAATTCAAATACTGACGCTCAAATCTTTATTCTCTCTAAAAAGCATCGTTCGCCCCTTTTCAGATCTCTTGTCCTTCCGTCTGTCCTTTCCCAGCCTCGGAACACCAGGCAGCTGCTCTGAACTATACCAATATGATTTTCACTTTTCATTTCATGCTTAGAGATTGAATTTCCTGGCTCTGAGAATCCCTGAAGAATTTCCTAAAGCTCCGAGCCTGGGAGCCAGAAGCTCTGGTTTAAATTGGAGCAGCACAGGGGGTGGGGGGGGGGAACCTTTTTATGTTTTGGTTTGTTTTTTAGCTACACGTAAGAAAACATTCCAGAACGGTCACAAGAGGCGCAGTTATGATACAAAACTATCCCGAAGAGTCCATCATGTGACTGGATCTTCCGTACCCCAATGTCTGGACCGCAATCCCGTACCCCAGTGTCCAACAAACCATTAAAGTGGACAAACTCATGGCAACTTTCTGAAAAACTCAAAAGGTTGTTTACCTTCCACTCGTACAATAAACTTGCAGGCAGCTTTGTTCCTGGCTTGGTCGTACGCTCTGTAGCGGATGACGTGAATTCCCTCTGTGAAATCAGATCCTGGCTCCGGCCCTATGAGCGTTACGCTGCAGAAGGACACGACGGGTCAGACACATGTTAAACTCATTTCTTTCTTTCACGCAGACCATTCAAATATTTACTGCATGGAACAGTCCAATGTCAAATCACATCAACACTGCTTTGGCGGAACTGAACTTCTTCATGGGAGTGAGAATATTTCCTTCTAGTCTTCTTTCCTGTTACAGGAAAGGCTCGTGCTACGTTGCCTTAGCCTGCGGGTTCAAATCTGCCTTTTTTTTAAAAAAAAGGAAATGAAAAACCACAAGCATTAAGAACTTTGCATTTCCTTCTGAAAAGCCCTTTCTTCCATTCAAGCCCTCCCTGGTGCAGCCTTACTCAGTGACAGAAGGGTTGGTCGTGTCCTTCACCGCAGGGGGGTCCCAGGTCACCTTGGCTGTGAGTTTGTCAGGCTCTGCCACCTTCACCCGGGAATACGGGCACTTTATCTTCGGGGGGTCCCGGTCTGGAACACAGGAGGGGGGGGGCATTCAGTTTCGGCACTTCTGGAAACATATAAAAGAACACAATCTAATCCTCTAATCAAGAACTCCCTGGACCTGAATGTTTAAAAATACCATGCTGAAAAATAAAAAGCACGGCCTTGTAATGCTGCACAGCTCTAAACAAGGCTCATGAATGGGTTAAAATAAAAACATGTTTTGTTTTAAGGGCACTATGGTGGTGCATTGGTAAGCACTGCTAAAACATAATACTATATAACCCTATAATATTCTTTTAAATATCTTTTAAATCCTGTATACTTACAGCCGTGCATGGGCAGAAGACAAATACCATATGTTGACACTCAAAAGATGCTACCTATTACTGAAGCTTTAACAAAACAGCAGCACTCAGCCCGGTGCAGTGTGTTCCTCAGGCAGTGTGCGGAACCTCAGGCACAAGCTGCTTGTTAAAACAAATCCTTAAGCTAATTTGAGGAAGGAAAGTTTGGAGTTTTGGAAACATCCCTCAAAGGAGCCTTGAATGAGCCCGTACAGCAGACAGGAATGTGCTCTGATGTCGTGTCCTGCCTGCCCCAGGACTAAGGTCTTGAGACACCTGTTCAGCACGGACAAAGACACCACGCACTGCTCTACTGACACAGTAAACACACCTACTGCCAAGCTGCCAAGCTTTCATTGGATTTGAAATGACATTTTAACAATAATGCTTCCAAAATGTTATACATTTTATAGTAAAAACTCTAAAGTTCTATTATTTACAAACAATTCAGAATGACTAAACGATGAAATATATGACTGTAGCACTTCACTGAAATAAATATCCACCATAAGGAAAGGACTGGGAAACAGAGCTAAGAATAAACACAAAGAAACATCCTTTCTAAGCACACTGGCGTCTCCAGAATGGGTCTCCCTGTGAAGGAGGCATTTTTGCGGGAGTATCGATTTCTGTGGGTAGGTGGGTGATCAGTATTATCCCAAATGTGTGACTTGCCCACGCATGTGGGCTCTGTGCCACTCCAGCGCCCGGACTCCAGGCAGGTCCGAAAGCGTTCGCCTTCCAGCTGGTACCCAGGGGAGCAGGTGTAATCACAGCGCGAGCCCATGGCCACACTCCTGGTGCAGGTGTAGGTGCCATAGTAGATCAGCGGCAGCACATGGCATCGGATCTCTGCAGGACAAAGCACACTGCAGGCGACAGCTGCCGAGGGAGGGGCAACACTCGGACAGAGGCGGATCATATTTATTCTGGACATCCACACATTCCAGTAGTGACCACCGCTACTATAATTCATTACTTGCTCACGAGGCTCCAGCAGGAATTTCAAGAGACTGTTTTCATAAAATAAAATCTTGTAAAAAAAAAAAACTCCTGAGCACTTTACACTCATCTGTACGAAAAACATCCATCCATGCATGCAGAAAGCATTGTCAGATGTATAATTTTAAACATCTAGAGATTAAGACTGGGATTCTTCTGGTGGTTCTTGTTATGTTGATGTTTAAGGAAACCTGTGGTACCACATCATATCAGAATTCAGGCTGCAAGCTATAGAAGGCGGTCACATTAGTTCAATCGAAACCAAACTTTCCACTGCCTGAAATTAAAAGAAACTCAGAAACTTTTTAAATAAAGTAATTAGTGTTTTTTTTCTTTCTGCATACATCTGTAGATGTGCTTCTCTATGAAAAAAGAACAGAGACATTCAAGATCTTTGCAGATTGTCTCCCTATTATATGAAGTATCTCCCACTCCCCCAAAATACAAATTGGGAATTGCTATGGGAATAAAATTAAACCTTTAAAAACTGTAAAGCAGACCTGCAGTTTAGCCTGGAGACCAGCAGTGTGCTCCTTGGAAGGGGACAGCAGTGTTTCCTAAACACTGGAGAGAATATCTGCCTGACCAGCGCCCTGAATACCTATGCTCCCCTCCTGCAGGTTTTTCCTAAGCCCCTGACTTTTCTCTTTCAGGACAGGCATGGCAGAATCTCTCAAGGCCCTTATCTGTTCAGTGCCGAAGCAGTGGACTGATGTACGGACGAGCTGTGCCACGCGGGCCAGCTCCATCACACTTACGCCGACAGTAGGCGGTCCCTGACCAGCGACGGTTGGGCAAACACTGCACCGACCTTCGACCCAGCAGGCGGTACCCTTGGTCGCACGACAGCTCGCAGCGCGTCCCCAGGGTGCTCTGGTAGTTGCCCCCCCGGGGGGAAAAGCAGGTGGCCTCCCCATTCGAGATGGTCAGGGTGTGGCACCAGCGGGGCGCTGGGACATAACCGGAGAGGAGTCTCGTCAGGAGGACACACACCATCTGCAGCAGTCCAGCCACACAGACACAGGGGTCAGCACTTACTCTTAAAGTCCAGCTGGGGGGGGGCCTCGGACTCATCCGGCACGACGTCATTGTAGCCGCTCTGCTCAGGAGGCCCAGACCCTGGAATCAACAGCACAGCCATCTCTCTCTCTCTCACAGCAAGGGACCGAACCCCCTGTTCATCCTCCAAACAGTTCCGCAGTGAGCCAAATGCAAAGCAAACAACAACTCTCTGTCTATATTCTAACTGCGCACTTTTCTTTGTTAACTGTCAGATTACAGGTAAAATGACATACAAGGACTATATGTATATGTAGGCTGTATATATATATACATACTGTAATTCCAGATGCATTGACAAGCTGATGAGCTATGGTGAACTTAAATGCTTACAGTACTTGTGTACCTATTGCTGCAGTTCCTATAAAAAAACCTTAACCTCTAATTAACAATACATACTAACAGCAGGTCAGAGTTTTGGACTTGGAACTGGAATGCTGTGGGTTCTAATCCCAGGAAGGACACTGCTGCTGTGCTCAGAGTGCTTCAGTAAAATACCCAGCTCTATCGATATTAGTCTCTTTGGCTGAAAGTGCTGGTTAACCAAATGAACACCAATATTAAAGACGACTGCTGAAGTCCCTTGTTTTTCAGAGTTTGCTGAGACACCTCCATTCCTTACTTCAGCTCTAAAGGCAAGAGAACTATTTTCAGTCTTTCAGGACCTCATTACTGCCTCTGTATTTCCAATCACAGGCGCCCAGCAGGGAGGTCTAGCACTGCTGACTGTACAGACCACTCAGCTAAAGGACTTAGACACCCCTGAGACACCCGCAAGGTTGGAACGGTACCATCGTTAAGACAAGACATGTATTCCCCAGGAAGTATGACGTGGAAATTTCCACTCGTGTCACTGGGAGGAGAGTGAGTCAGGGCCCAGGCTGAGACAGATAGAGTTGCAATTCAGTGCTTTATCCTCAGTAAGCAGCAGCAACAGCAGCCTTTAAAGTCAGCAATTAAATACCCCCCTCTTTCCCACAGCCACCTCCCAGGAGAGGAGGCCATCACACCCACTCATCCTTCCCCACCGGCTGCGGTTTCATCCTGCCTTCCAAGCCCTGGGTTGCGAACAGAACTCCGCAAGAAACTCGTCCTGCTAGCGCACGTTCACAAGAAAATCAAAACTTTGGCTGCCAGCATCGTGATTCTGCCTGTTCCCCAGCACTGCGTGTGTTTGACGTCTCCCCTCATCGCCATGCACACAGACCCTTAATGCATTCTGAGGGAAGAACACCTCCGTCCTCTCTGTGCCATTTATTCAGTCCTGGGCCCCCCCGAAGACAAATGCTCCCAGCAGTCCGAGGGCAGAGTTCCTGTGAAGCACAACTGCATCCTCTTCAGCTGCTCCTGAGAGCCACAGTGTCTATTTTATGACTCGCTGGGCTGCAGGTGTTGGTGAGCTCCTCACAGTTGAGCTGTGTAATCAGCCAGATGGTGGTGGAAGGGAGTTAATCCCCATTACCTGTACAACACTTTGAGTGGAGTGTCCAGAACAGCACTATTTAAATGTAAAGAATTACTAAAGTTATCTATTATTAATTGCTCAAACTTTGCCACTGTTTTTAGTTTTGATGATTAACAATAATTCAGTTCTTTTCTTACATTTACAGAGCAACAGGAGGGGACTCAGGTCACCCTCACTTGAGTTAACGTGTGCCAGCTGTTTTACACCACACAGCAGCCTAGGTCGAGGAGGAAGAACTGATTTCATATTAATTAAGGGTGCAAGCACAAAGTGGAATTTAGTCGCCAGGTTTAACACTATTCTTCGTTACGGGACCTTTACTGACCAAGTAGTCAGGACCTCAGTTTGTCTTGTCTGCAGGACTGCACCTCCTACACACAGTGTCTGCTGTTATTATATGGGGGCACTGCTTGGAAAATCCTCATTCAAAGGGAAGGGCGCCACCTATTGGTCCACCCACTGCATTTACAGCAGCATCCTGGTTTCCTTGCACGTCAGAGCCCTCTGCCTAGACCTGCCTGGAGCCCCTCGTTTCTCCTGTGACAGGCAAGAGCAGAGCTCTCCTCCTCGCAGACGGAGATTTCAGAGCAGGATTTGTGACCGATGTCCACGGGTCCTGGGTCTGACAGGTACTGTATCCATCACAGCAAGAGATTTCTTATTCGATTAAAAAAAACGAAATGTTATGGGCTCTGATTTTTGTCTTCTCTTCTCCACATTCTAAAAGAGGATTCGTGCTCTTCCCGAGCCCCAGCAGAGGCAGAACTGAGGTCACATCCTGAGACACTCTGGAAAGAGCAGCAGGCACAGCCTGCAGCCACAGTCAGACTGGCGGAGCACGCAAAGACACTTCCAGCAAGTCTGGACAAGGCCAGCAGGCCCAAACAAAAGACACAAGATCCTTAACAAAATCAAATCTAGCAGCCGCTTGATGACGTTTTCTGAGATGTTTTGAAAGATATCCTGCCTTCTGAACATAAATCAGTGAGCACAGCAAAACCGGGTTTGGATCAGAATCAAAAAGGGCAATTCGTTCTAACCCATTACCATTGTAACACAGAGAAATGGAAAAACACTGAACCAGATTTAAATGTAGACTTTTACATGAGCACTGTTGTACTTGTGAGGTTACTGTACTCTCTGACCCCCCCAGGGACCTGGATGCTGTGTGTCCAGCGTGTGTGTGCGGACTGTCCTGTCCCCTGGACACTGCACCTGGACCGTGTGGCCGGTGTGTGGGAGAGCGCTGTCCCCCAGGGCACTGCGGCTAGACACGGCGTCACAGCCTGTCATCATACAGCTTTACTGAACAGGAAAATAATGCAACCAAAAGAAAGAAGGTTCAGATCCGTTTGAAGATTCATTCCTATAGCTGTAGCACTTTCTGCAATTTGTATTCTTTTACTTATTGTACTTCTGTTTAATTATTTTTGTTTAGCCCACCCTACATTATGCGGCCCTCTTAAATGGTAAATTACCATTTAAGAAAAATTAACAGTGTTACTTTTTTACAGTTCAGTAATTAAGGAATCCTTTCAAAATCAAAAACTGTATGGAATATTTCAGCACCTTATAACAGGCACAGATAGTCTTCTCTCATGCATTTTTAATCGCTATATTCTAATTTAATCAATAGGCGACAGCACTCGGAAACGGAGAGCTTGTCTTGCCGCTGTGTGAATCAGACAAAGACCACATGTGACTGTGTGGCCTGAGCAGGCTGAAAAGCAGGAGCAGCACATTGTTCAGATGTCTTACAATTCCACACCACCCACAGCTAGTCAGCATCACACACCAGCAGCACAGGATTGAGCAACCACTGTACCAGATGTCTCTAATGGTTTATTTATTTTGGTCTTTTGGAAACTATTACAGAGCTGCACTGCAAAAAGATAAAACAACAGGAAATGATTACTCCAAGGGCAGGATATTTCAAGCCCGTCCAGGGGTTAATCTGACCAGAATTTTGTGCCGAGCAGCACAACATCAGAACCCAGATGTTGAGGAGTTGTCTTCTCCAGGCTTTGGACATGAAGAAGACCGCCTCCCATGATCACTCTTGGCCATGACGATTTAAACTCTGAACTCTCTATAAATGTAATCAAAATTCAGCAACGTATCGTTGTGCTGTTATGTAAGGATAACGTTACAGCAAATTTCATCTATATTTTCATGCATCAAACCTTGAATGCTGACAAGTGTGACATCCTTTTACTGCATAAAGTAGTTCCTAACTATTTTCTAATAATCATCTTTAAAATCAATGTAAAAGCACACACAGACAGATATTACATTGTCACTGAAATTGGCCATTGCAGGCATTTTCCAGGATGAGGTTTAAAGCCCAGCCACCTGAGGTGGGATGTCCTCCCAACACAGGGCCATCAATTTTAACACAAACCACCCTCTAAAGCCATGTGAAAAGCAGGTTGTGTGCGATGATAAATGTAAAACCATGTACATCCTTTGTAAGAAAGGTTTAAATTGAGTGCCATGCATCTTGATCTTCAACTTAAAAAGCCGATTTCCCCAGACATTAATGTGCAAAAGTTTGCTTTCCTTCCATACTCTGGGCTTGTACAGTATATGTGCTCCATAGATCCCTAAGGTTCAGGTGAAGCTCTGTGATTTGAGTGCCCTGCTGGGACTGTGTCAAGGAGATCAAATGCAGGCTTTCTGCAGCTGGTGCCCTTGCAGTCTGTAATTTCAGGTGATGAGAGTGAGTGTACAGTTAAAGTTACAAGAGAGCAAGGAAGTGCATTAGGTCAACATCACAGGGGCACTTAAGAAAAAACAGGTGCTTCACTAATTGGCTGTGCACTAAGACCCTTCTTCAGCAAGTAGGAGTTTAAACATTTAACAATAAACTATCCTGTGAAGAAGGAACTGCAAGCAGACATGCAGTTAAGACGTAACAGAGCTCACGTATCCCCAAATTAATTTGCAACCAACGTAAAATACAGACAGCCATCTGTATGTGACATTTAATTTCAAAACGTATTTTACCATGTTACTTTTGTTCAGTTTAGAACAAATTCTCATTACGGATGACAACCTGAAGAGCACTCTTGTATAGGGAAGGCATTGACTGGAACAACATACCGTACCTTCCTCAAGGGGACTCCAGTCCACAGCCCTCAGTGCTGCTGCACACTGCCCGGAGGAGCTACAGCAGCTCAAGAAAGCTCCTGGGACCCTCACTACTACTGGATATTAGCAGAAGTGGGTATTAGGAAAGGAAAAAGAACGCAGAACAAAACATGGACCAGTTTCTGTTGGCTTTGTGTGAAATAATGAGAGGAAAAAAATGATTCCTGCAGGAGCTGTAGCAAGAGCTGAGGTTTGCTGTGGAATTTTACAGCTTGACGAACACAGGCATTTTCATGTTTTCATACTGTTAATGGGTATGGAAAAATCACTCTAACACTGTCTGCAGTGTTCCACTAAGTGTGAGACAGACTCCATGACAGGCTGACGACATGCGGAAAATATTTGGACTACCAATCATATTACTGAAGTAAAAAACAAATAAGACAATATATTGTAGGTCACGTGGTAGTTTATGTTATAAGCCTACTTCTTTGGATCCAGGAGAGTAAGCTTTCCTAAAGACCTAAAACAGTTGAACTGTAAAGAAAAGACTGTGCTAAAAATGAAATTCTGAAAGCAAAAAACATCCCGTGACGTACTGGTTCCTTTTCACCCATGAGAATTAAGAGTGAAGAATGCTGTGGACAGTCCTGTTTCAGCCTTGTCGTGACTTAGCAGAAAGGGGAATGAGAATCCTCCTGTCATCAGCCTGTCATCATGGCCTGACCACTGCCCAGACCCGGCACCAGCTCCAGACAGTCCCAGCTCCACACTAGGACTGACGGACTCCTGGCACACCCAGCACAGAGTCACAGTGACTGTGTCCGTACAGAACTGCAATGGACAGTAGATGGGTTCAGCAGTTTCAACACGTGACACGGCATTGTTCATCCCTGTTTGGCAAGGTGACATTCAAGTCCTTTAACAACAGGTCACTGCAGCCCTGGGTCTCTCTGCTGTGGAGATTTTCAACACGGGGAGCTGCTCTGTTTAGCTGCATCCTGTCATTACACCCCAGGGACGTGCAACCAGGGGCACAGGATATAATTGCTGGTGCTATTTATATTTTTATTCTGGGAGGGCAGATCCCCATACGATCTGTATTAAGGAATTTAAGATGCTATTTAAAGCAGCTCTTCGTTCCATTAATTTGCAGTGACGGTCATGATTGTTGCTTTCTTTCTTTGAGGCTGCAGAGACATAATAACTTTGCCCTCTTAAATTGTGCAACAGCTCCCTAAAGAAAGGCAATTTTGGTATTCTGTTTTGGTTCTCTGCACAATAATTCTTTTGAGGAGAAAGTTATCCGATTTTCCATTTAGAGTGGAACTGGTATAATTACAGTATGCGGTACTGTGAATAAAATACCCAAACATTTAGACTCCTGGTTTAATGGAATTAACCAGGAGTCTCTGCAGAACAGCAACTACCAGTCCAGATCATTTTTACTTGGACCACTGAAGACATCATCCTGAATGTTTCTCCACGCAGCTATTACAGAACTCATGAAACCCTTACAGATCTTCACTGCAGTGACCTGTGATGAACTAGGAGTAAATTCACAGTACACCTCACGCTGTAATCACATTCATTTTGCAAGTAATGGGAAACTCCAGAGAAGACACACCGTGATACTGTGTAACAATGTGATGCTACCACACCCAGGAGAACAGGCCCAAAACATTAAGCCCACGAAGCTGAATGCTTACAAACTGAATAAACTTAACCAAGTGCTTTCCCAGTCTTGTTTATTCACTGGATTAGTGTCTAAAGCACTGATCTGCTTGAAGCTAACAGAGTTACAAGCTGCCAATGTCACTCTTAAATACTATTTCTCAAGCTGCTATTCTGTAATGAAAAGCACTATATATATATATAAATGCAAGGGATTCTAATTACAAAGGCACATTTTGAGGAGGGAGGTCTCCCTGTGGAGAAATTCACTGGAACAAGAAAAGTTGAAAGGCCACAGGGAGTCGGATTTCTCCTGGATAAGGAAGAGGGGATGTTGTCTTTAATCGCTGGCTTTGGGTGGTTACTTTACTCTTGTTCAATTGAAGCAGCAAGCTGTATTTGAATCACTTAATAACATACCGATTATATTACAGGCAGGGCCCAATCTTCTGCCTCAATGTAATGGGTCTATAAATTCCTTTAGGATACGGTGGAGCAAAGTACATGCACAGTTAGGGCGGTACCTCGTGAAAGAAGCTCAATTACACTAATTTTATAGGGGATGCCGCATTTTACATTTGGGTCTGTCACTAATTACTCTCTGGGAAGACACTACCCTTCACACGTCCAACACCTGTAATGATGTACGAGAGGGAGCCAGTTTAACTGACTGATTTAAAATCAGACGGCCATGCAGACACAGACTGTTACCAAAGAATATCTGCCCCGTGTATCTCTGCAGCAGCCAGTCTCTGCCACAGCTGCATCCAATTGACGACTTGTTGGCTGTGGTGACGGTGGTTTTTCCATGCAGAAAGGATTATATAAACTACAGGACATGCGGGCATCCCCGGGGGAGACGGCGACTACAGGGGGAAACGTTGATTCAAATGTGTGAGAATCCAGCGCGCTGGATTCCGCAGCTGTGAGGAGTGTTCCAAACCCACAGCACAAAGATAATGTTCCTGCGGGCTGTGACATCGACAGCACAGTTCCTGCTGTTCAGGCATGTGGAGACAGCCTGAGAGCACATGCTTGAAGCCTTGAGAGCACCGTCGTTAATATTATAAAGCTGTCATTTTGTTTTTTGGAAAAAACAAATGTCATCTCAATAGATGACTACGTTCTACAGTGCCGTTGCCTTGAACGGTTGACTTGAGAAGTCCGTGCTTTCTCAAAGCCGGTAACGCCGTGCAAGCTCCCTTTCAGGCTGGGCATACAGTTTTCACGTTTGGCAGTTCGTCACAACTCCTTACCTTCGCCGGTCAGTCCGAGCACCTCAGCAAGGGCACACACCTCCAGCAGCAGCAGAAAGCTCGGTTTTGACATCTCTTTCCCTTGGGGTTTCAAGGCCGCATCAAGAATAAAAAACGACAAAAACAATAATACTTTTCAGAGGGACAAACTGATCATTTCCCCTACAACGTCAACAAAAGGTGCAGAAGGCTTGCAATGCGTGACATGAATTGGAAATCACTTATTACAAACCGGGAAACGTGGCCTCGGTGAAAACCTGTCGCGTCATAGCGCAACATAAGTGTTTTTACAAAAATCTCCCCGAACAAAGAGCATTATTGAAGGTGCGCGCCACAGCACAGACGGGCGACGGATTCACTTCCAACACACGTTTCCAGAAAAAGCCAAGAGGGCTTCTGAAGTTACTCTGTCAAGAAGACAACAGCCCAGACAAAAAAAATAATATTATCGTCGGTAAAAGACTGACTTATGATCATGACGATGTAGCGAGCAACAATAATAACGAATGATGATTTACCTCTGTCTGAAAACACGACAGGCTGACGGTCTTCCCCCCTTTCCCACTCGGTTTGGCTGAGCGCGGCGCCGCTGGAGTCGATTACTGAGTTTCGCATCTGCGCCCAGAGTTTTGGCAGAAGCCCTCGTCCCCCGCTTTTAAAGAAACAAGGGGCTCAGAGGGTGTTGCTTGACAGTAATTATAGTAAATAATTTTGTCCAGTCATGGGTACACAACATCCCAGCTCTGTGGGTTAGAAGGAGTTCTCATTTTAACTCTCGCACTGTAGGATACGCGACTAACACGTTTTACTACAGTTCTGCCATTAGAATTCCGCTTAGTTAACTTTTCAACGTTTATACCAGATAAACATGTCAATATGACCGTGACTACTTAGCGACGTTTCCTTCCTCAACGTTTTTCATCTGCGTTACCACTTTCCGGGTTTGTAGTTTTAATTCCACATTTTATTACCATTAAAGTTATCAACTTTCGCTGTTTTTACAGCAAAGTGCGTATTTCTTCCACGAGTCTTGCTCGCCTTGTTTCAACCCCCAGCTCCATTAAATGGTGACATGAACAGTTTTGTAGGAAGAGTGGAAACGCAACTCAATCCCATGAACGCTATTTAGTGGAAAACCAGACTCATTTGATATATCTGATGCATTTCACGTCAGACAATCCGGATTGTGAAACATTGCATTGCTTAGAAGATCTCCACTCAAGCAGAGTCATCCAAAAACACGCATTTGAGAAAATTAAACTACTGTATTAATATTCTAATTGAAAGGAGGCCAGGTGCTCATTTCCTTGAGGCCAAAAGAAACGTGTCCGAATACCTTAGACGCAGTACAGTCATGTCGAATTAGGTAATATGTTCGCAATTACTTTTTTGGCTATATATACTACATATATTACTGTCAGAAATGTATATGCACATACTCTCTATACTGAGATGAAGATTAGATTACGTCCATTTTATGCAAAAATTAAAAACCCATCTCTCAATTTAATAAAACGATGATAAATACTAGCGAGTGAAGCTATCAATTTAAACTATTAGTATCTTCGTTCATGACCAACCAAGTTTTTAATTTGCAGGCAGTCGAATGGCGACGCAGCTGTTGCTAACCGCATTATTTGTATCGACGCTTTACCGGCCAGTAGATGGCGCTCTGACGCCAGAAGGGGAGTTACTGCATATTCATATATAGGATATGTTGACACTGCAATTTAAAATGGCTAAAATTACATGTTCTAACAATAAATACTGAAGCTTTTTATAACATTAAAACAAGCTGAACGGGGAAATTAAATAACTTGCTATGATAATTAGCCTAGTCATGTGAGCCGGGGTTCACTGTGATACTCTTGAGATTTTTAGACGCGCTCTTGAACGGAAAAACGTTCATCTGTGAAGTTAGTTTTTCGGTGATTGGCGCCTGTGCGTAGCAAACCGGCAGGGCGCCTGAACCGATCTTACTCCGAGGGGTGAAATCTCTAAATGAGCACAAGAGCGGCTTCCAGTTTAAGGGCACCCCTGTCCAGGCGTCCCTCTCACTTAGGACGTGTCGTGTGGTGTCGCCAATCGTGCCACGTAACGTTAAACTGTCACCGAGCCCAGCTGGGCCCAACGTGGGCCAGGCTTGGCGATTACCAACGCCAACTCTAAAATACGAAGCCACTGGGCATTTGAAGAAATAAAAAACAAAACAACAAACAAATAATAAAGAAAGAAAACGTTTAATTTGGAAACGGCTTCTCCAAGTACCGCATCCCTGCGCGCCTTATTTGCACCTCCGTCCGCAACAGCAGCAGTGACCAGGTCCTCCTGACTGATCCCAGCAAGACCGCCCCCTGGCGCTGGGCCGGCGCCACTGCAGCGCCCCGGGGCACAGACGCGCTTCCAGTAGGAACCCCCACCCCACCGAAGAGCGGTCTGGGAAAGAGTGACGACATTTCCCTTCTGCTTGGAAGCTGCCGAGTGAAAGTTTTGCAGCCACGGGGAAAAAAAAAAGTTTGGGACTCTTTTCCGGAGTTGCGAAATTAGAGAACTCTTGTGGGGGAAGAAAAAAAAAAGGAAAGGGCAGGCATCATGTCTTCTCCATCCAGGCGGCTGCAGACGAAGCCTGTGATAACATGTCTGAAGACTTTCCTCATCTCCTACAGCCTCATCTTTTGGGTGAGTCGGGGTGTCCGTCCTGGGGATGCGGCAGAACAAAGGACTAGCAGGGCTCGGGGCAGAGCGCAGCGAAAGCAAAACTACGGCGCAGAACAGGACGCGTAGCGTTTTCCTTAAAATAATATCCGTTTTTATTTGAATTAGGATACGTTTCACGTTGTCCAGCCCTTCGCCTGTTGCCCAGGAAGAATGCATGCGTGGATATGCGTTACTGTTTTAACGCATTAGGGGTGCGATCAGTTTGCCTGGGTGGAAGTCTCTACTGTACTAAAAAGTCCAGTTTAGAAATTAAAAGTCCTAGCCGACGTCATCACATTCACGTGTACGGGTGTATGCCCCGCTCTCTAAATTGTTGCATTTCTGCGTGAGCCTGGAGTTATCGATGGGTTACTCCGAAGTTTCGTGCGACGTTTTCGTTCGGAGAAGGCGACTGCTCTTCGGCGTCTTTGTATTTTCTGCGTGCATAGGCTCTGCGTGCCACTTCTAAAAATTAAAAACGTCTCCACCATTTAAAAATACTTTGGCGTTTAAAATAACTTACGAAAAAAATGCTTTATTTATAAAAACTTTTCATTTTTTTACCGGACAATACTTCTGATAAACATTTTCGCCGTTTCCATTTTTAATACGACTTTTGTACGACTGATGGTTTGATCAGACTTTCAGCTGTGGTATTGGATGTAAGCCGGGCATTGTCAGTGCCATCAAGGTTTCAACCACTGAAGGATGCCTCCGATCTGGGGAGATGAAAACCATTAACTAAAGCATTTCCTTTATTTTAAAGCAGTTTTCCACTATATTATTTATTTGATATCGAGCCTTGTAATGACATCACCTCAAGACACTTTACAATTAAAACAGCCGAAGACAAAAATAATGGACAGTCATACATGGCTACTGAAGTAGAATGTAAAGAGGCGATCCCCTTGAATGTATTCTGTAGTTTGTCAGGTATTAATGTCATCTCAATGGCCAGAACATCCTCTAGCTGCCTCAAGGATGCAGGCATTGATCTGTATTTCTGTAAGGGCTGAGAGAGCCAGCACTCCGGTTAGTATCTTGTCCATCTACCAAGTCAACAGACAGATTGACTGTTTGCACATTTTAGTGTAAGCTCGTGTGTCTTTTTGCTTTATATATGTACTGTGTATGCGTGCCAGGGTGTAATTACATTCCCTCAGTGTGAATCATGGGAAGCCAGCACACACTAACACATTAACACTCCATGAACATTTCTCCCACTTGCGTTTTGTTTTTCTCTATTTTGGACTAACTGCTAATTCAAGACTTGCAGTGAGCGAGAGAGACCTACAGTATTCATCTGAGAACAGGGGGGCACATCTTTCCCCCAGCGAGCTGCCAGGCCACGTTCTTGAAGCTGATTTGCTGGCTTTGTTCAAGAAGTGGTGGAAAGAGATTCTCGGATCAATCAGCAACTTGTTGATGGTATTAATTATTATTGCTTGAAGACAGCATGGCCACCTTATGTCCGGATCTGGTTAGCGTTCAGGAGTGGAGCGAGGCTGAGCTTCTTGCTCAGAGACTTGTCTGTGCTCCAAGAGGATCTGTCCTTGAGATGAGACATCCTGACTAGTCATTAAAGGTCCCAATTCACTGTAAGAGTAGGGGTGTTAACCACAGTGTCTGGGCTAAACTGTACTTTGGGTGTTTGCAGTCTGGCCTTGCAAAACACCCCCTGCGCTCTGTGAAGCAGTTTTTTACTTCTCCACTGCTGTGCCGAGGGGCTGCACCTCGGTGGGGGACAAGTGTGTTCCCTACTGTGTGTGGAGCACCTTTGGGGTTCATGGAGATGAAAACCACTGTAGGTGTGAAACTAATAATTGTATTTTAATAATGTACTGTGAACCAAAGGAGTTAGATGGACTGAATCACCTGCTTTATCGAAACCTTTCAGATCGTACAGATATCTCTGTGAACGTGGATGCCTCCCGTTCAAAGTCCAGAACAACACCTCTGGACTGGACTTATAACACCTTATCACCTGTTATTTACTGCTTTATTGAAGCAGAGATTTCTGCATCACGCAGGACAGCGTGAACGTACTGTGCACAAGGATTTTAATTTGCCCGCCAGTGAAGGACACTGGCGACACCTATGATGCTTTATGTTTTGCCCCCGAGTTTGGCGTTTTAGGCTTGAGCGCATTAGAAATGTTGGAGAGGCATGGCAGTCCTGGTGAGGCTTTGTTAATAATAATAATAATAATAATAATAATAATAATTGCTGACACTTATATAGCGCTTTTCTGGACACTCCACTCAAAACGCTTTACAGGTAATGGGGATCCCCTCCACCACCACCAATGTGCAGCCCCACCTGGATGATGCGACGGCAGCCATAGTGTGCCAGAACGCTCCCCACACACCAGCTCTCAGTGGGGAGGAGAGCAGATTAATGAAGCCAATTCATAGATGGGGGTTATTAGGAGGCCATGATTGGTAAGGGCCAATGGGAAATTGGGCCAGGACCCCAGGGTCACACCCCTACTCTTTTTGAGAAACACCCTGGGATGTGTTGTTGGGTGGACTGCCAGGCCAGCTGCTGAACTTGTGTGGGGTGGTCTTGAGAGATCTTCATGGTCAGTCCCAGTGCCAAGCTGGATGAGAGTCTTAGCTCCCACAACCACAGCAGCAGTGGGTGAACAGGAGCTGTTAACCGGCAGCTTGGTTTTGAGACACTGTTGGAAGACTTGTTGGGCTGAATAAAGGGACAGCCGGCTGAGCAGCAGTGCCGTCGTGCTCAGCTGCGGTCAGTCTCCCAGCACATCAAGCGTGTCCGAGCCCCCGCCGAGCTTGACGTAGCCCCTCTGGCCGGTGGGGGGGCGTCCTGACCCGGCCTTGCTCTCAGCTCACAGGGGTCATCCTGCTGGCTGTGGGCGTGTGGGGGAAGGTGAGCCTGGAGGCCTACTTCTCTGTGGCCGTGGAGAAGAGCACCAACGCCCCCTACGTGCTGATCGGCACAGGCGCCATCATCGTCATCTTCGGCCTCTTCGGCTGCTTCGCCACGTGCCGGGGGAGCCCCTGGATGCTCAAGCTGGTGAGCGCGCCTCGAACCCGCGTCTCCACCGCCCGTATCGCTGCAGGCCAGCCAGGCCCGAGGAGAGGGTCCCGTCACGACGCACCCGTTGCAGGAATATGGCCGTGTCTTTTTTAAAAAAGTTTTATCTCTTCTGCGTCGTTCCTTCAACAAGCGACGAGGGCAGATTCCGAGCCGGAAACTGGTCCCTGGTCAGCCTGGCCTGTAGGGCTCCAGCTGGTAAATGACAGAGTGGCCCGTTTATTCTCACTTTTTTCACAGCACTTTCCACACCATAGCCAAGCTCTGCAGGAGGGGCGGCCCTGTTTGACGCGTGCTGAAGTTTAGATTCTCTCAAGCGCAGTGCGCAGAGAACAAACTCTGAAAACCTGAGCTGTAGCTAATTTCACCTTTTGTGTTGATGGTATATCTGTTTTCTGAGGGCTGTTTGAGACTGCTCTCTCTAAATCCTGTGCGCGCAGGCCAGCAGGCGGCGGCTGTGTGCATCACCGCAGTGTGTTTCTCTCTTTCTACAGTATGCCATGTTCCTCACCCTGGTGTTCCTGGCTGAACTTGTGGCTGGGATCTCCGGCTTCCTCTTCAGACATGAGGTACAGCGTTCCGCACGGAGCTTTCCTGGAGCCAGCGCCCCCCCGACACCTATCTGTTTCATTCTTTCATTGCAATAGCAAGAAGTCCTCTCTCTGAGCATTTGATCCCTCCACCATCCCCAAGGCTCGAATGTGTTTGAAATCGGATTTTCCTTTGTCTCGCCATGGGTTTGTGATACCTGGCACTTTGAACCAGACTCCGGTGGACCTCGTCCTGACTGATAAGAAATACCAGTTGACTTTGCTTTCAGGATTTACACCTGAGCTGTGCTGTTAAGATAACCACGGTTTGGCCTTTCAGATAAAGGAGATACTGAAGACCACCTACGAAGACGCGGTAAACAATTACAATGGCACAAATGCTAGAAGCGACGCCGTGGACACCATTCAGAGGAATGTAAGTGTGCAAAAGTCCTAAGCCCTGTGAATGAGTAGTATTATGTGGGCTCTCGTGGGGTGAGTGACGTCCTCTGCCCTCTCCCATGTGTAGCTGAAGTGCTGTGGGGTGCAGAACTACACCGACTGGGGGCCCACAGAGTACTTCAAGATGAACGGGATCCCCAAGAGCTGCTGCAAGAGCCCCAACCACTGCACGACCGACGCCCTGAGGAACATGACCAAGGCTGCCGGCGAGGTGTACCCCACGGTGAGCCCCGCCGCTGTCCTCCAGATCGCTCCCCGGCCCGACACGGGTCATCGTACAGCCGAGTGAAGACAAAGGGAAAACAGACTTCTCTTCTGGGGAAAGTAAAGCCTCAGGGTATCGCAGTGGGGCTTCGCGCTTCCAGAAAACCCCAAATGCAAAGAGGGAAGGTAGTGAGATTATGGAGGTGCTTCAGGATCGCGTCTCCTTGATGCTTTATTTTTAATTCCTCCACACGGGTCCAGGACAGAAAGGCCCAAGCGGCACTCCCTGCGTGTCCTGCCAGCACTGTCTGACCCCTAGAGGGGGCTGTGAGCTGGAGCTCAGTCCAGCAGGCAGGACGCCTCTCCATTACTGACGTGCCAGACTAGAACAGGCAGCATCTGAATCCAATCTTGTCTAGAAATGAACCTGCTTATCAGTGATAGATAGCGGCTTTCTTGTTTCGAAGCTCCAGAGCACGTATTGTTGTGTCCCGGTTGCTTGGAGGACCGGCCTGTTCTCCGTCACAGGCTGCACAGCTGGTCTCACCTCCTCCCCTCTTCTAGGGCTGCATCTCTCTGGTCACCACCGTGATGGAGTCCAACCTGGGGATCATCGCAGGGATTTCCTTTGGAATCGCTTTCTTCCAGGTGCGTCCATCCAAGCCACAGAGTTTGGTTTCTGCAGGGTGTGGGCATGCGAGGCACAGGAGCAGGCCAGTAATCCTGATAGTATGTGACCTAGACCTGTGTGTAGGGATGATGTGAGTGAGTGGAGGCCTCAATCTGAATTTAGCAGCTTAGATTAGATGTGTGAGGAGGGAACTGGGATTGTCTTTCATCTGGGATCAAAGAGTCATTTAGAAAGAAGTGTGAAAGTGCTACACTGCATACGTCTGCAGAATGTGGAGCCGAAGACAGCTTACTGCAATTGAATAACCTTGAAAGGAATAAATGCCACATCTCCGATTCAGACGTTCACACGCGCAGTAGCGCAGCATGGAAACGCATTATTGGGGTGTAATAAAATTGCTTGATTTCCTGCACAGCTCATTGGAATCTTCTTGGCGTGCTGTCTGTCGCGGTACATCACAAACAACCAGTATGAGATGGTGTAGCAGCAGTCGCATACAGGTACGGCCCCTGGGGGATCCGGGACAATCGCTAGAAATTGTCTTTTGCTCGGTGGTAAACGTGCAGATTTTGTTGAAGGAAAATGTGATGACATCCTGAGTTCTGTGCTGCAAGATGGCGGCTTGAATCTGTGCTTTCCATATAAATATGCATTATCTGTTCTGCGCTGGCCTGCGGGAAGACAGATATTTTGAGTCTGTGCATCTGCACATCTTTAAAAATGAGGACAATACAAGCCCAAGTGCAGCAGCTGCTCCTGCCCAGTTCTCCCCAGCACATCACCTGACCACGACAGAACCACTGTACTTCCATCTCTGTCCAGATGGTGTCCGGATTTTCCCTTCCTCACCCTGTGATTTGATGGTTTCTGCTCGCTGCCTCATCGTCGGCCTGTTCCATCTGCTTTTAACTCGATTTTGGAATATTGCCTTTGTTGTAAAATAGTGTCTGGGCAGGAGTGGCCCTTACTTTAGCCAGGCCTCTGTGGCCCTGTCTCTATTGGTAGTGTCAGTGTAACCTATGCCACAGAGTAATCAGGACAGCAGAGCTCCAGCAGCTAGTTTTCTGTGCGCTCTGTGAAATCCAGACTTGTTATATCTTGTCTAAAAGCTGTGCTTTCTTCTCTCCTTCACTTACTATCAGTAATTTGCTTTACCTGCTTTTTATTTAATTTTGTCTGAATTATCATTTTGTTTGTTTTTGTGGTACCTCTCCACTTAATACTTTTGAGCATTGAGCAGTTGAAGATCTTTGCATGAAAATCACCAAGGTCCTTTCTCTTTCAGGATACTGGTGTTCTGTCTGCAAGGAGCCAGCTCAAAGGGAGGCCTTATTGGCCATTTTAATTTTTGTATTGTTTTAGGGAACTTGTTCTTCACTTTAATTTTTTTAAACTTTTACTGGGTACCAGATAGAGGGAGAGGCAAAAGACAATTTACCAAACAAAAAGTATTTTGAAAGCATCTGAAGCTATGCTATTTTTATTATCAAGGTACACCATTGCTGAAATTTGATATTTAAAGGGGACATCATTGTGCAGAACGTGCCAAACACAGCAACAACAGTTGTCTACATGAGCACCTCTGTCATAAGAGAGAATGGCTTGATTCCATTAGTCTTTCCAATAATTTTTCCATCTTTGTTAAACAACATTCCCAGCTAATCTGTTAAAACACTAACTTTGCACATCTCTCTATAAATGATGTACCGTAACAAAGCAGTGCCATTGAAGAAGCTATTAAAATGCCTGTGCATTCGCCTTCAGCATTCTTGAAACTTGGCTAAGATAAGCTGACGTGCCTGTATTTGATTTTCATCACATGCTTTAAGAGTTGATATTTCTTCTATAATTAGTGCTTTTTGTCTTTTAGAAACTTAATGAGCTGCATTGTGATAGTGATAAGCTATGAGACACAAGTCAATACTACTCTACTACATGCAATAAAGTTCTTAGTGTTGCAACATTCTCCTTCACTATCCCAGAAATATTTCTGTAGAATAGAAAATACATTTGACTTTTGTGACTCATCGTAAATGTAGGAATGCAGATTAAAAATTGCGTTGGAGATATTCTGCATTGCTATAATGTATTTTTGCTTTTTGTGACGTGATCAGTTTCTGCTACCATTTGTAGCAGTATTCCTTTTGGAAAAGTAAAGGGAATTTAAGATAGTTGTTTTTCCCCACGAGGACATCAGTCCTATCTCCCCGATTACTGAAATGTTCAAGGTGTTTTAGGTTTTGACATAGCTGTAGGAAGAAACATTTCTTCACATCTAACACTTGTCATAGTACGAACTGCATCCTTCGACGGTGGATTATTTGTTTTTAAATTCCCAGACCGTTCACATGGACTGTTTCGGACATGCCATGAGCTGGCGGAGAGCAGGGGGGCAGAGATGTGTAGGAAAAAATGGAGACCAACGAGGGGAGGCCGGTTTGGCCCCTCTGGTACTTTGTTGCCGATTGATCCCAGGGTCTGATCCTGCAGACTCATGGAGGAAGCCAGGGCATCGGCTTCTACGGCAACAGCACGCCTGGGCAACCTGTTCCACACTCCCGCCACTGTTTGTGTAAAGAGTGCCTCATGTTCTTGGTGCTCTGTGCACTTCCACATCGTTTCCACTGGTTTTTTTCACTGCTGGTTCTGTAGAAGACTTTGCCTCAGTGCCTTTGACTTTGACACGGCGTGAATTTAGTGCAGGGGAAGAGCCGGCTGCTTTCTCTCTTATTTTCATTTGAAATGCACACAAAAACTTGACAAAATTCTCTTGAATCCAGACAAGATAGGTGGGCCGAATTGCCCCCTCTCGTTGGTAAGTGTTATGTTCTTCTGATGTAAACTAGAGGAATTCATCAGGGTAAGATCTGTAACTAGCATGCTGGAATTTGTAGTTCTTGGGTGGGGTTGTGCAGCACTAAGTTACTTCCCCCAGGGCCTGCTGTGATGAGATGCCCCTAAAACTACAACATAGCAAGATGGAAATGCAACAGGGCAATACTGTCATATAAACGAATGTGAAAAGCTACAAAGCATACAAAGCTAAAGCCTGTCCGTTGTTTCTTTTGTTTTAATTGCTGTAGTCTGAGCACAGTGCAATAGAAGTTTCATTGTAGTATTTTTCTCTTATAAACTACTTTCGGAAACGTAATCAGTGTTAAAGGTTGCCAGTAATATACGGCAGCAGCATGTAAAAAAAATGAAAAATAAAGCTAACATTTTCTTTACCGATTGCAGTTTTGTGAATTATTGTTTGCATACAGGTCATAAAGCGGACGGACACGGGTGTGTTAAACAATCACGGTTCCCTTGACAGGTCTCAAAGAGAAGAGATCAACGAGTCCAGCAGGTGGCGCCAGTGCATTGAATGCGCTTCAGTCAGTGCGCCTAGACTGGAGGCTCAGCTCCGCTCCGTTTAATAATAATTAGGCTGTGGAGCCTCCTTCGGGTGTGTCAAATATTCAAAAAATAAATATTCTACTCTTAAGTGGACTTCATCAGTTTAAAATAAAATATTTGTTTACGCTAGTCTTCCGTACTCTCTCTTTGCAATAAGATTTTTTGTCGTCTGGTAAGAATGACGACGCCGTGCACGGAGATTCGGGGCTGCTGTTCCAGCACGTGTAATGAACCTAATACTCCGAGCAGGGCCATGCCTACTGAACTTCCAGGAATAGAAAGAAAACAATCCCCGATAAAGCAATGTTTATTTACCCTGGAGCGATAAGAAGTTTGAACTGCCCTACCCCGGGGTGCTTGCTGAACTCAAACAAGCAACGCGTCTTCCTACTGTAAAATGAGACCTCCTTTCTAACACACAGCACTGCGATTCACTTTCAGCTCAATTCAAACAGCTGCCTAGGCATGACCGATGAATTTCAGTGTTGCCAAAAGCGTATACAATTAACACAACTTCTACAGACATTTACAATACAAACACAGAATATTACTGACAGACGGTAAAGGTTCACTGCTCCTCGGGCTGTGACAGGAGATCACGTTCTGGGCTGCAGCTCAATTGAGTTCCCTCCCCTCTCTCCCAGTAGGACTGGGAGCTGTTCTGATGCTGGCAGGAGTGGGAAATCTGGAATTAGGTTTGTTATGTTAGGGAAGAACGTTGGTCTAATCCCAGCGTATTTCTCACAGTGAACGTTTCTCGCCCATGAACAGGACAAGCAGACACTGCCGGGCCGGCTGCATGCTGTCTCTGAAACCGAGTGCGGTTAATCTAACTTGTGCATCCTCTCGGGGTGGCGAGGTGACAACCCGAGCATTACAAACAGTGCTACAATTACTTCCCTTGTACGACGTGTTTGAGTTACATCGTTGCTTTGCGTGCATAGCGAGCAACTGAACCTAAGAGACAAGCGGATAAACTGTTATTATTCCTAGCTCGATACAGGACAAGAGCAGCTCTAAACAAGGCATTATATATCGAACATTTGTGTAACCGGAGTTGCGCTATATCAACCGTATGAAAAGCCCGTGCATCTCACTTCAATGCCAGCATGTAGCACAGCCCTCGCCTGACGAAACCAGCACGTTTCCTTGGGTGAGAAAGGCGGGGCCTGTAAATCCGGACCCTTCATTAATTCGCATGTACTGTCCGGACGCGCACAGGCCGGGTTTTCTCATTGGCCGGCGAGCCAAGCAGTCCTGGCGAATGGCCGCGCAGAGAAAGCGGCGCCTCTGATGTAACCGCGGGGTGTTGACGGTCCAGCCTTCCAGTCTGCCGGGTCACGCCGTATAAAAAGCTGAGAACCGGCTCAGCCTGCTAATGGAAGCGCCGGTGTTGTCTTGGCAGTGTTGCTCGAGTCGTGCTGGGATTCTCGTTGTTTTGTTAATGCTGGGGTTTTAGAACACTGACCGAGCTTACGTTTGGCTTGACTCCTCCAAGCGTTCAGGTATGTAAGCGTATTTTTTATCTTAGTTGCCGGGGCAGTTGTCAGTGAGTTTAAGCCTTCATGTTTGTTTTCGAGAATGTTTTGTATCGCATACGTTCTCCTGGCACCTGTTCCTGAGCAGTCTTAAAATATAATATAAAGGGGACACTGTCCGTTATAGTCGTGTTGTGCTGTGTTTCTCGACTTTCACTTCAAGCTCGTTCTTATTGTATCTTGCCTTAAAACTTTGTTTTGGCCAGAAGGTGATAAGTGTGTTAAATGAACCCATTTCGTCTCTAATACCCGACTTTGACAGGTATACCGGGACTAAAGTGCAGGTTCCCCTCTGTAGGGGTGATGGAGTGAAATGCCCAGAGCCCTTGTTGTGTGTGTGTGTGTGTTTATATCTAACGAGCAGTACGCAGCCAGGAACGCGGTGAAGTCTTTCTGTACTTCACGCCATGTAAGGGCATGCCTCTCCTGCTCTGAGCGAGAGTTGCTGTGCTCCCTTGTTGTAGGCATAACCTCATTCATAAAGAGTCGCTTATTTCAGAGGCTGATGCAGGAGCATCAACAGTTTCTCCCCACCCCCCCCATGTACTTTAGTCTGTATTCAAGCCCAAGCCCTTCAGGAGACATTATCCAGCAGTGTGTTGCCTGTTAAACAAGATGCTTTTTGCTTTTGTGGGCGGGAGGCCTGATGAAGCATGGGGGCATGTACCCACCTTGGATGATGGTGTCTGTGCAGCTCATTAATCCAGGTTCCTCCCCCAGGTCTCCTGCTCTGCTCACTCCTGCCTGCACCGCTCCTGAGGGCCCTCTCGTGTCTCCAGCTCCCCAGCCCCCTGCTGTGGGGACCCTCATTCCTGCCGCCATGATGATGCAGCTCTGCAGCGAGTTCTCCTCCAACGCCAGGCACTCCGTCCTCAGCGTGATGCAGCGCTTCATCGCCGCCGCCAACAACATGGACGAGACCATCCTGGTGCCCAGCCTTCTGCGGGACGTCCCCCTGGAGGACGAGGAGGGCGACCCCCAGGGCAGCAACTTCAACAACAACAACCACCACCACCCCCACCCCCACCCCCTCCTCCGGGGCTCGGAGGAGCCGGCCGGTCCCGGCAAGCAGAGGGACCTGTACGAGCACTACCTGCTGCTCAAGTCCATCCGCAACGACATCGAGTGGGGCCTCCGGCAGCGGGAGCGGGCTGGGGCCGCCGGCCTGCTGGGGGTGTCCGTGATGCAGGAGGAGGGGGAGGGGGGCGCCGGCGAGGCCGACGCCGACCTGGAGAGCCAGTTCCGCTACCACCTGCGGGGGCTGTTCGCCGTGCTGTCCAAGCTCACGGCGCAGGCCGACCTCCTCACCCGCCGCTACAAGAGGGAGATCGGAGGGGGCGCTTTGTAGGACCGGCCTCTTCCCCTCGTTAGCGCAGACAGAACTTTATTTTTTTTTTTTGCTATTTGCACGAAGGGTGAAGTTCCTCATGCACCAAGACGTTTTATTCCCGTTTAACGTGCGGGTGGGTGGAGGGGACATGGCGTTTGACCTGAAAGACTGTGTGACTTGGCCTGCTGATCCTGTTTTTGCAGTCCCAGACCTCCTGCAGCCCTCCAATCCCCCCCCGAATCTGCCTCTGAACGCTGACCAGACAGTCGGCCCCTCGCAGGGCTGCGTCCCTGGCCGGGGCTGCAGAGGTCAGTCCTGCAGGCTGAAGACCACTGTCCTCCCACAGCCAGGTCGGCCCCTTCTACCCACTGGTCACAAACTGTCAAACTGTCCCGTTCCTCCTCTCGTACCAGATGGGAGCGGGGACAGAGCTGTTGACACTACTGTTTCTTTGAGGTAACTTGTTGAAAACGTACAAGTGTCAAGTGAGGCCTGTTCTGAGCTGGTATTTCCTTCCAAGGTCTGTCTGTCTTCTGTAGGACTGAGCTTCTGACAGATCTGGAATAATCTCCCAGCGTCAAGGCTCATCAAGACGCTGGGTGTGTCTGTAATAAAGGGGTCGAGTTACTAGCTGGTCGAGTGCACGCTCATGTAGCGCAACGTATTTCTGCCTGAACAATAGGGGTGTGTAGTTCTGAGGAAATGGCTTCTATAGCTTGGAGGAGGGTTTGGAGCTGCTCTTTTCTGCACCTCTTTCAGTTCCAAGTGGAATTTCTTTGATCGTGACCCCTTTGCTGTCCTGGGAGGGCCTGTTTCTGCTCTTAGCTGAATGGGGACACTATACTGTGGGTTGGGGATAGATGGGGACACTATACTGTGGGTTGGGACTTGTGTAATGTGAACACTGGATTCTACGCACTTATATACCACCGCTGGACATTGAGTTTCCACAAATGATCTGGGAAGTAGCTGCTGGCATGTCCTGCAGTTTACACCCTTCTCCGTTTTCTGTAGCATGGAGTGTCTGTCCTCTCCAACCAAGAATGACTTGAACAGGGTTTTATTTTAAAATAATGGCAGCCTGTCGGCAATGGAGCCTTTGGGAACAGTATCTGTTTGGCTCCATTAGAACTTAATTTTTATTTTAACAAAACTTTTTTTTTTTTTTAGAATGTATGTTGAAGGTTGAAATGCCTTGAATGTATATATACCCTTTTCTGAATATGAAAATGTAATTTTATTAAAATAAATTTCATTTATGTTCATCAAATACTTTGTTCTTGTACCATACATCTACAAATCAACCACAGAACATCACCAAGACTTTCCCTTGAGTCTTTATTCTCTCCTGTTTTAATCTGTAATCGAGTGCAACTTGGACATCAGATTTTATTACCTTTTAAACTGGGCTCAATGTTGAGCAGGGGTGTCTTCTGTGTGGAGTGTGCTTGTAGCTGTGGGGGTTTTCTCTGGGTGCCCCAGTTTCCTTGTATCTCACAAAGTCATGTTGACTTGCTTAACATCAATAACAGGGATGGACATCTGCCAAGGTTGCAAAAGGCCAAGCTGTGCTCTGCGTTCCGACCTGCAGTATGTTATCCACACAAACAGATACTAAAATCAGAAACTGTCACGGGCAAAGTGCCATCTTGTACTCCATTCAAGCGCTGTGCTGGCACTTCAGCCAGGGCCAAGGCAGAGTGGCCGGGGCACAGAGCACAGCCATGTGAGAAAGCAGCAGAGGTTAAACGGGCTGGAAAAATGGGTTGGGTCTGTTAGGAGTTAAATGCAGGAATTAAATGTGTTTTTAGCCTGTAAGGCATCCAACTGAAATAGGTGCTTAGTGACATGTTGCCTGCTTAGGGCTTCCCCTGCAGAGACAGAGAGGGGATAAAGGACTCATGAGCGCAGGTGTCCTGACCACATGAGAGCAAGGAGCTGAGGTGAGCTTGAAAGAACCATGTGATAGCTCTTCTGGGACAACCTGGTCTCTCTGCCTTCAGGTACTGTATGCACAGTAAAGAACAAGATCAAACCGACCTCCATGTTTCTTATCAGATCCTGTAGTAATCACACACAGTGTAGTCAGAAAGTTTACCAACAGTGCACTGGATCAGGGGCGACTACCCGGTCATCTTGTTTGTTGGTTAAGAGCCCACTGAAGCCCGGAGCAAAGTGAACACAGATGTCTCCTATCTATCCCACAAAGGATAACTGACCTTTTCATTATAGTCTT